TGCAGGATGCCAATGGAGGTATGGTGGCCCTCCAGTGACCGCAGGGCACGGTTGACCCTGCTCACCATCCACCTGAAGACCTGCCCGTACATATGCTTGGCCAGGGCATCCCGGGCGTCAAGCGCTTGCTGCCTGGAGAGGGGCTTCAGGTAGGTCTCACCAGCAGTGACCAGCTTGCGGTGGCAGAGCCAGCGCATCACCTGCGATGCCTCGACACCCAGCAGCGTGCAGAACAGCCCTAGGGCCTCATCGGTGGGCTGCGAAGGGACAGACTGACCCTGTCACCTCAGTATTGCTGAGATGCAGCTCCTGCTGCCCCAGTGCAGCTCAGGGGCCAGTTTGGGGTGAGGGCAGCAAGATCTCACCCACCTCCACGAAGCACCCATCCCCACGGCGGTCCCTCCCCCTGACCACAACGTTGCCCAAGTGCAGGATGGCAGCCAGGACCCTGAAAAGCTCCAGCTGGTCAGCCTCGGGGACACCTGTGGGCACAGCACAGGCAATGAGGGACTTCCCCAGGCTACCCCCAACCCATGCATCCCACAAACCAGAGGGATGGGGGAATGGCCAGGAGACAGCCGGGCTCCCCAGCGCTGGGATGTCTGGCACCAGCACTCCTCCACGAGCATCAGGGTGAGGGTAGTGGGACAACCAGCCCTGGGGACCAGCCCTGCTCACCCCCTCCCCACCCGTGCCCGGCCAGGACAGTACCCAGGAGCGAGAAGGCATGCCGTGTGCTCTCCAAGTCAGCCGCATCGTTGGTGCTCTGGGCAGTGGCGCACTGGCCCTGGCAAGTGTAGTGGAAGGACTCTGCCCCACCTGCGGGCGAGATGGGTCAGGCTGTGAACCAGCACAACCTGCCCCACGGGGCTCCCAACCACCCTCATCCCACCCCAGGGTGCCCATCAGCACCAGAGCCTTCTCCAGCACCCAACTGGGGAGCCTGAGGCGGGCTGGCAGCAAGCCCTGCTGTGGGGCTCATGGTGGGGAACTCACAAAGACCCAGGCCCTGAAGCTCAGGCAGGGTGGCCGAGGCACAGAGCTGGTAGAAGATGTGGTAGTTCCTCTCCGCTTTCGCCTGTGGATGAGCAAGGAAAGCACCAAGAAGCAAGGTCACCTTGGGCCACCCTGCAGCAGCGCTGCAGCCCCAGATTTGTGGACAAGGGACATCTTCCCCTCACCCAGATTGACTCAGCAACACTGAGTGCAATCCAGGACATACCCAGGAGGAGCACCATCCCACTCTGAGGACCAGGGCTCCCACTGAGCCCTGTCCCCATACCACCCCAGAGACCCACCTGGAAGGTGACACGGGACTTCTCCAGCAGGTACGTTTTGATGGTGGCCCCTGTGACATGCGCTTGGCTGAAGCCAATCTCAATGTACTTCCCAAAGCGGCTACTGTTGTCATTCCTGGTTGTCTTTGCGTTCCCAAAGGCCTGGCAGGGAAGAAGGGCAGGAGGTTTTAGCTGGCCCCAGATCTCCACGTGCTTTGGAGAAGTTTAGTGCCTGCTACCCATTTTACAGGGAGGAACAGACATGCCATCACATCAGGGATACAGGCCATGAAGTGCATGGTGAAAGCCTGCAAGGACACCCCAGCTATCCCCACGCAGAGCCTGGGGACCCACCTCCATGATGGGGCTGGAGGCCAGCACCTTCTCCTCCATGCTGGAGTCGCCTAGGCAGCCCCCGACAGTGGTGAAGTATCTCATGGCATACTTGGCCGACATAGTCTTCCCCGCACCTGACTCACCACTGATGATGAGGGACTGGTTCTTCCCAAACCTGCCAGACAGGGACATGAGTTGGGGACAGCCTGTCAACCCAACAGGACCTCTCTCCACAGAGACACCACAGTCCAGAGCGGCCTTTAGCCCTTCCCCACTGTAACCCCAGGGATGCTCCCAGGTGATGCTCTCACCTCACCATCTGCTTGTACGCCTCCTCTGCCAAAGCAAAGATGTGAGGATCCATGTCCCCCATTTCATGGCCGCTGTAGGCGTAAATCACCTCCTCCTCATAGATGGGCAACGGTTTGTAGGGGTTGATGGCAACAAGGATGATACCTGGAAGAAGAGGGCTGTGCAAGGGGCGGGGGCAGGAGGGGCACCTGCCCCAGGGAGCCATGGGGAAGGGTGATCGGAGGGGGCACCCAGGGCTCACCACAGTAGGTGTAGATGGCGTTGGCCTCCAGGAAGCGCCGGCGGAGCGAGTGCAGCACGGCTGGCTCATGCAAGTAGCTCAGGGCCACCAGGTCATCAGCACCTGAGAGGCAGTCGGGGTTGCAGAGAGGTGGCAGCTGGAACTCAATGGGGTAGGCCAGCGCCTGTGGGGATGGAGATGGAGCAGGACAAGTGCTGAGTGGGGTCAGCCGGCGCCACAAAGGCAGGATGGGTCTGTGGGGAGCAGCGCAGCGGGAGGGAGGCTGTCTGCAGGCTGTTAGTCACCAGGAACCACAGCTCAGCCAGCACGGCAAGCTGAGCTGGAGGTCTTTTGGGAAGTCAGGCGGGAGAAGGCAGCAAGGACCAGCTTGCCAGGCAGTCAGGGAACACAGGCCATGGTGATCGTCTGGTCTGGGCTCCTGCTCAGACACCAGGCAGGACACATCCAGACGATGTTTGAGCCTCTCCACAGCCTGCTGGGGAGCCCAGGCTGGTTTGGGGGCGCAGAGGTGGACTATCTCCCACCTGGGGATGCCCGACCACACGGCAAGCACAGGAGGGACCCTCTGGGCTGCGCGCTGCCAGCCTTACCGAGCCATCTTCCAACCGGAGGTGGAGAATGGCATCTCCTTCCTTGTAGCCTCTGGTTATTTCTGCCACCCTCCAGACTTCAACAGAGTCGGGGATCCACACCTGGGCACCCTGTGGGGACACGGGAGGGAGGGGACCCCTGCAGAGAGCCACAGCCAAGAGAAGGCAACCAGCCTCCGACCCCACATTGCAGCCCTCCCCACAGCTCTCATTTGGGAGAGCCAGCCCACTGTGCAGCATCGCCGTAGCCATGGGACCCAGCACCCTACTAGGTGCCCCACAGCACCTCAGCTCCTGTGGGCAGTGGTTCTACCCAGCTGCTCTCCAGATGTGCGGGAAGGCACCTTTGCTGGAGTCCCACTTCTCCCCAGCCCTGCTGCCCACCCCGGGCAGGTCAGCACCTCTCCAGCCCTCGGCATGGGGTGGGGGCTGTCTCTTCCCCATCCTGAGGATGCGGCCGTGGCAGGGAGGGGTTCTGGAAGCACAGGAGATGCCGAGCACGGGCACTTGTGAACCCGGGGAGTGCTGGGGATGCACCGCCTGGTTTGGCTGGGCAGAGATACCGGGCTTGAAAGCAGATATGTGTAGTACCGACCCCTTGCTAACGACCAAGTGGACCCCTCCCCAGGCACTGCCACCAGCTCGGCAGACCCAGAAGAAAGGACCAGCGATAAGAAAAATCACCCCACGCCCCTTTTCGCCTCCCGAATTTACAGCTCCCTGGGGCCAGGGACCGGCTGGCACCCATGGGAGCACTGCTGCCTGCCTCAGTTTCCCCTGCACAGGCAGCAGGTGCTGATGAAGTGGGAGCTCTGCAGCACAGTGAGCCCCGACTTGCCTGACCTGAGGGTGCACACCTCCCTCACACTTGGAAAAAGCCTCTTTGGAGTCACCCCACAGGATGCTGTGCTCTGCATGAGCAAAGCAGTGCAACACCATGGGGGCAGAGCGGTAAGAACTGGGCCAAAAAAAAAACCCACCCCAAAAAACCCACAACCCTAAAACAACTCCAAACCCTGGTGCAGGCACCCCATCAACTGGGAAGAGGGTGAATACCCAGTCCCAAACTTGCAGGGGGTGACCTGTGCTCACGAGCTGGGGAACCACAGGTCCCGCTGTCCCCGCTCCTGGCACGGGTGCCCGCGGCCCCGCTCTGTGCCGGGCGGTCAGACAGCGTCTCCGCAGTTTCTGCCAGGCTGCGGGGAACAGGGGCTGCTCCCAGGGGGCCAATACCTCCTGCTGCTCCTGACAGGCAGAGACCAGGCCATTTTGCA